ATCTCCTTTACTCCTACAGACTGTCTTCCTCCTGCACGCCACCCACGCGAGTCTCCGCCCGGGTTCAGGCCCACAGCCTCTGCTTAGACTCTGCTCTTTTTAATGGTCTCCCGGGCACACTCGCTCCCGGAGATCTGTGTGGCGTTTTCTTCATTGCCTATGCAACCCCAGGGCCACCGATTTAAAATTCCGTGTCCCGCTTCCCTACTTTGCTTTTCTAACATATCGTTTATTTATTTATGACGTTTATTTTTAATTATCTACCTTCCCTATTAGAACCTAAACGCCATGAGCGCACAGTCTTGTCTGTTTTGTTCACTGATAGGTCCCAAGTACCTGTGGGACCCACAGGCGCTGGCCCACCTTGGATATTCAATAAATGTTGGTTCAATAAAATGAGTGATGAGGGAAAGCTTTAAACACTGAGCGAGTTGGTAGAGCTGAGAAATGGAGTAACAGAGCTCTGGGCCATTTCACTGCTTTTCAGAGTGCGCTGGAATTGAACGTGACGATGACAGTCAGGGAAGCAAGTTGAGAAAGAGATGATGGGGGAAGGAGAGGTCATGAGCCAGCAGATGGCTGAGGCTGGGGAGTTACAAGGGCAGCTCCACCACTGGGCAATCTCTGGCGGAGAGCTGGAGGAAAAGATACTTCATAACAAAATGGCACAGAAGGCCATCTTAAGTTGTTTGCGGTGGCCTATTGATGTCACACACACAATACACAATAAACATGCCACACTCAACAGTATTGAACTCCTTGATGCCTTTTTTGCAGGGGGGGGGGGGAAGGGATAAAAGAATCGAAGAAATGGGATGTGACCCACATTTTGGTCATGATCGGGGCAAAGACAAAGGAACACCGTAAAGACATGGAATCTACAACAAGAATTTGATATAGATGCAAACCTAGCCGGAGGTGATCAAGTGAAGGAAAAGTCTGCAGGCTTTTAATGAAATGTCAAACAGGACAAGGCTTTTCTACTGGTGTAGATGTGCTACCAGTTTACACTGCATGTTTTCAGGTGACCCTCGCTGACCCGTGGCCCGCAGCAGTAGTAACAGTGCCTTCTCTTAGGGTTGTTGAGAGACTTTTGGGAGATGTACACCTGGGCAGCGCTCCGTTCTCTGACGGTTTCTTCCGCACCCAGTAGGGGGCGCTCAGCGGGGCACCAGGCAGAGCTCATAGGTTGGGGGGATGTTGCCAAAGCCTGAGATCTTGGGGGTGATATCGATGTCAGCAGGAGGCACCAGCGGGTGTAGGGAGAAGTTCTGAAGGATGGAGGTCAAGTAGAGGAAGAGTTCCATGCGGGCCATGGCCTCGCCCAGGCAGATGCGCTTTCCTGTGAGCACATTGGAGGAGAGGAGAGTGGGTCACACTTGCACTGGGATAGCAGTCATGGGGAGCCTTCTGACCCCACCACCCACCTGAGTCTCAGCTACTTCCTCAGCATCTCTGGGGTCATAACACTGGCTTTATAGGGTTATTACAAAGACTCAGTGGGTTCCCAGAGATAGTGCTCAGCTAGGGTCTGTTAACACATGGCAGCTACTTCTCTGATGACTTGGATTCCATCAGATTCCAAGATGGGATGGTTATAAAGGAGCCTCAAATACAAAGATTCTGTGCATTTCAGTTTCTTAAATGTTTATCAGAAGCCTAATTGGTGCCAGATACTGGTAAGGGGAAAAAACCCCAGAAGCACACACTTAAATAGTGTCAGCCACTCTTCCAATGGTTTGGAGAAATTAATCTCCATATTACAGACAGGGAGCTGAAGTAACTCCCCCACTGGGCCCACCATCTGTAAGTGGTAGAGTTTCATCCTATTTCCTAGTCACAGTCACTTTTGTGGTACAGTGGTGTATGTGACTAATTCACACTGCATATTGTGGTACATAATATGGGGGAGAGACCATATGACTGGCAAAACCTAAAGTAGTTTCTGTTTGGTCCTTAGCAGAGTAAGTTTGCTGACCCCTATATAGTGCTATTACTCTTCTAATTTTGAGTCAATAATTCTAATAGTCTATGATTCTAGGATTCTTTGAAATAGCACTCAACTTCCCAGATGTGGACCAATGGTTGTGGGACATATCAAGCATGTCCCTGGGGGGCACTCAGACCACAGAAAC